TAGTCCCTTACTTGTGCTGCTTCTCCCGCCCGCCACGTAGAGGAGGACTTCTGGGCGTGTATTGTATTTGGTGGTAGTGTCTTGTCCATGGAAAGGGGGGTGCTCCGTTAGTCAGCAACATTTCAGAATTCCCTGTTCACGGTTACGGTAGCGGCTCACGACACTGTATTACAGGGCAGTCCCTTCTGCTTCTCCCCACGTAGAGGAGGACTTCTGGGCGTGTATTGTATTTGTTGGTGGTGTCTTGTCCATGGAAAGGGGGGTGCCCTGTTAGTCAGCCACATTTCAGAGTTCCCTGTTCACAGTTACCGTAGCAGCTAACGACACCGTACTACAGGGCAGTCCCTTACTTGTGCTGCTTCTCCGCCTGCCACGTAGAGGAGGACTTCTGGGCATGTATTGTATTTGGTGGTAGTGTCTTGTCCATGGAAAGGAGGGTGTCCCGTTAGTCAGCCACTTTTCAGAGTTCCCTGTTCACGGTTACCGTAGCGGCTCACGACACCGTACTACAGGGCAGTCCCTTACTTGTGCTGCTTCTCCCCACGTAGAGGAGTACTTCTGGGCGTGTATTGTATTTGTTGGTGTTGTTTTGTCCATGGAAAGGGGGGTGCCCCGTTAGTCAGCCACATTTCAGAGTTCCCTGTTCACAGTTACCGTGGCAGCTCACGACACCGTACTACAGGGCAGTCCCTTACTTGTGCTGCTTCTCCCGCTCGCCACGTAGAGGAGGACTTCTAGGCGTGTATTGTATTTGGTGGTAGTGTCTTGTCCATGGAAAGTGGGTGCCCCGTTAGTCAGCCACATTTCAGAGTTCCCTGTTCACGGTTACCGTAGCGGCTCACGACACCGTACTACAGGGCAGTCCTTTACTTGTGCTGCTTCTCCCCACGTAGAGGAGAACTTCTGGGCGTGTATTGTATTTGATGGTAGTGTCTTCTTCATGAAAAGAGAGGTGCCCCGTTAGTCAGCCACATTTCAGAGGTTCTTGTTCGTGGTTACCGTAGCGGCTCAAGACACCGTACTACAGGGCAGTCCCTTACTTGTGCTGCTTATCCCGCCCGCCACGTAGAGGAGGACTTCTGGGCGTGTATTGTATTTGGTAGTAGTGTCTTGTCCATGGAAAGGGGGGTGCCCCGTTAGTCAGCCATATTTCAGAGTTCCCTGTTCACAGTTACCGTAGCGGCTCATGACACCGTACTACAGGGCAGTCTCTTACTTGTGTTGCTTCTCCCCACGTAGAGGAAAACTTCTGGGCGTGTATTGTATTTGTTGGTAGTTTCTTGTCCATGGAAAGATAGGTGCCCCGTTAGTCAGCCACATTTCAGAGGTTCTTGTTCGTGGTTACCGTAGCGGCTCACGACACCGTACTACAGGGCAGTCCCTTACTTGTGCTGCTTCTCCCCACGTAGAGGAGGACTTCTGGGCGTGTATTGTATTTGTTGGTGTTGTTTTGTCCATGGAAAGGGGGGTGCCCCGTTAGTCAGCCGCATTTCAGAGTTCCCTGTTCACAGTTACCGTAGCAGCTCACGACACCTTACTACAGGCCAGTCCCTTACTTGTGCTGCTTCTCCCGCTCGCCACGTAGAGGAGGACTTCTAGGCGTGTATTGTATTTGGTGGTAGTGTCTTGTCCATGGAAAGGGGGGTGCCCCGTTAGTCAGCCACATTTCAGAGTTCCCTGTTCACGGTTACCGTAGCGGCTCACGACACCGTACTACAGGGCAGTCCTTTACTTGTGCTGCTTCTCCCCACGTAGAGGAGAACTTCTGGGCGTGTATTGTATTTGTTGGTAGTGTCTTGTCCATGGAAAGAGAGGTGCCCCGTTAGTCAGCCACATTTCAGAGTTCCATGTTCACAGTTACCGTAGCGGCTCAAGACACCGTACTACAGGGCAGTCCCTTACTTGTGGTGCTTATCCCGCCCGCCACGTAGAGGAGGACTTCTGGGCGTGTATTGTATTTGGTAGTAGTTTCTTGTCCATGGAAAGAGAGGTGCCCCGTAAGTCAGCCATATTTCAGAGTTCCCTGTTCACGGTTACCGTAGCGGCTCACGACACCGTACTACAGGGCAGTCCCTTACTTGTGCTGCTTCTCCGCCTGCCACGTAGAGGAGGACTTCTGGGCGTGTATTGTATTTGGTGGTAGTGTCTTGTCCATGGAAAGGAGGGTGTCCCGTTAGTCAGCCACATTTCAGAGTTCCCTGTTCACGGTTACCGTAGCGGCTCACGACACCGTACTACAGGGCAGTCCCTTACTTGTGCTGCTTCTCCGCCTGCCACGTAGAGGAGGACTTCTGGGCGTGTATTGTATTTGGTGGTAGTGTCTTGTCCATGGAAAGGGGGGTGCCCCGTTAGTCAGCCACATTTCAGAGTTCCCTGTTCACAGTTACCGTAGCAGCTCACGACACCGTACTACAGGGCAGTCCCTTACTTGTGCTGCTTCTCCCGCTCGCCACGTAGAGGAGGACTTCTAGGCGTGTATTGTGTTTGGTAATAGTGTCTTGTCCATGGAAAGGGGGGTATCCCGTTAGTCAGCCACATTTCAGAGTTCCCTGTTCACGGTTACCGTAGCGGCTCACGACACCGTACTACAGGGCAGTCCTTTACTTGTGCTGCTTCTCCCGCTCGCCACGTAGAGGAGGACTTCTAGGCGTGTATTGTATTTGGTGGTAGTGTCTTGTCCATGGAAAGGGGGGTGCCCCGTTAGTCAGCCATATTTCAGAGTTCCCTGTTCACGGTTACCGTAGCGGCTCACGACACCGTACTACAGGGCAGTCCCTTACTTGTGCTGCTTCTCCGCCTGCCACGTAGAGGACTTCTGGGCGTGTATTGTATTTGGTGGTAGTGTCTTGTCCATGGAAAGGAGGGTGTCCCGTTAGTCAGCCACATTTCAGAGTTCCCTGTTCACGGTTACCGTAGCGGCTCACGACACCGTACTACAGGGCAGTCCCTTACTTGTGCTGCTTCTCCCCACGTAGAGGAGGACTTCTGGGCGTGTATTGTATTTGTTGGTGTTGTTTTGTCCATGGAAAGGGGGGTGCCCCGTTAGTCAGCCACATTTCAGAGTTCCCTGTTCACAGTTACCATAGCAGCTCACGACACCGTACTACAGGGAAGTCCCTTACTTGTGCTGCTTCTCCCGCTCGCCACGTAGAGGAGGACTTCTAGGCGTGTATTGTATTTGGTGGTAATGTCTTGTCCATGGAAAGGGGGGTGCCCCGTTAGTCAGCCACATTTCAGAGTTCCCTGTTCACGGTTACCGTAGCGGCTCACGACACCGTACTACAGGGCAGTCCCTTACTTGTGCTGCTTCTCCCGCTCGCCACGTAGAGGAGGACTTCTAGGCGTGTATTGTATTTGGTGGTAGTGTCTTGTCCATGGAAAGGGGGTTGCCCCGTTAGTCAGCCACATTTCAGAGTTCCCTGTTCACGGTTACCGTAGCGGCTCACGACACCGTACTACAGGGCAGTCCCTTACTTGTGTTGCTTCTCCCCACGTAGAGGAGGACTTCTGGGCAGGATTAAGAGGGTTAAAAGTTCTTATACAAATTCATAAAACCATCGATTACAAAGTCTTTGTATGACCACACGATGTCCTTTGTCCCATCTGGACACCATTAAAACAAGAATGGTTGACAATGGTTCTAGAACAAATAAAAAACTGTGTGTTTTGTTCCACAGTTAGGGGCAGTTTACCAACAAACTAAACAATAAGACACGAATGTCAACTTGCACTTATATTTTTTAAATTATTATCCCTAGCGATCTATGGCACTGGACATGTGTCGGACCTGGAGACTGTTGTTGGGTTCTGTGCTGCCTGGAGTATAGGAGCTCTATCTATGCTTCCTTCCTGTAGTGAATCTGTATAAGACCCTGGAGGCTGTTGTTGGGTTCTGTGCTGCCTGGAGTATAGGAGTTCTATCTATGCTTCCTTCCTGTGGTGAATCTGTATAAGACTGGTGGTCTTCATAAAGCTGTGTGTGTATTATTATCCCTAGGACACGTGGTACAGACCATGATAATAATGATGGGTACAAGTTTGCGACTGATTTTACTTCAATTACACCACATGTCTACACATGTAAAAGGCAGTTCGACTTTGCACTTACAAATGTCAGATCCCCGTTTGGTTACTTGCATTCCGCTGGTGGGGTTGGACTTTTGTAAGAATCGGAGATCATTAGAGCATTTTTTAAATTAGAAAAAAGTACTCAATGCGGGATTTTATCCCGGGTAGTAGCGGTCGAAAACCAACGGCTTAGAACACTCTTCCACGGATCCCTTTTTAAAATTTTGTGATGATTTGATCTGTTGCGGAGTGGATTGATGACACGGATCTTCAAAAGCAAACCATGACTATCATGGAGCAAGAGAGAGGCTGGACACAACAACGTATATCTTTAATTATAAGTCAACAACGCGCGCCATCTATGTTCGAGAAATTAAATCATTAAAGTGCTAATGCTTCTTTTACATATAAATCAAATTTCTACTATCCCTATTGCGGTGGTAAAATATTGTAAGGGCTTAGCTCATCAGTGGGGAACCCTCTCAGCGGTTTCCCCAATTTAATTTACCAGACTGCTTCTTAGATCTCTAATACTGTATTGGATCATTCTGGTTATATATGTTACACTGAAGGGTGGAATCTTAGAAATGGTATTGAAGTAAAATATGGACATAAGCTTATAGGACAGTAGAATTACATTCAAATATTTGCATCGAGCAATGTTCTTCCGCAATTCGTGTTACACATAGGTTAATTATCCCTATATCTCTATATATATAAAAGTCAATGTCTGTCTGTTTCGCGATAAACTCAAAAACTACTGAACCAATTGGTACCAAATTTTGCATGTCGCTTTTTATAAACCTGAGGAAAATTTTCGGCTGCATTTTGATTAGTATTTTTGGCTGTTTCTTTTTTTTCATTTGAAGAACTTTTTTTTACGCGGACTAATCCGGAATGGAATGAATACCTAAATATGGCCATTTTTTTAAGCATCGGTGGTTCAGTGGTAGAATGCTCGCCTGCCACGCGGGCGGCCCGGGTTCGATTGCACCCAAGGGATTTCTCGGGCGAAGCCGGGTCATTCTCCTAGTATATATATAAAAGTCAGTGTATGTATGTATGTATGTATGTATGTTTGTACAGTAAAACCCCTCTATAGTGAACCCCAATGGGACAGAGCTTTTGGTTCACTATAGCCACGGTTCACTATAGCCACGGTTTGGCTATTTTTTTTACTTTTCAAAAATTTTAGACCGTATAATTAAAAAACAGCCATACACACAAGAAGAGGCTGCCTCTTAATAGTGGTCACTTTATTTTAATTCCCTTAATTGACTAATTTCCTTATATTAATACTGAATAATAATAGAAATCATTAGATAATAGGTTTTTCTTATGATTAACATACATGTACCTCTATGTCTAAGTTAAAAATCAAGACAAATCCTAGGAAAAGTTTTATTAAATATATATTCAAAGATATGAAATGATTTTAAAACATCATTATCACATTATATAATACAATTTTTACTTGAAAAAATGGCTCTAATACCTTGTTGTTTAAAAGCATTCTTCCAAGCATTGCACCATTCAAATAAAGTTAGTGTTTTTCTTCCATTTCATGTTTCCCCATATTCTTCTAGGTCTAGATTTCGTTTTTTTTTTTTAACCTGCCATGCAAAACATTGCTGACATTAAAATCACCATAGTTAATGGCATAAAAATAATTTTTGTTTCATCACGGGACCGTTTATTTGGACTTTTTTTTTTTTAGCCCAAAACGTACGATCGCGATCGCGGCAAAAGTTGAGGTTGATTCCTCTTTGTAACAATTTTTAATAACTTTATATTTTATCTTTTATAATAGAAAAGTTATATTCTCTTATTTTAATATGTTCTTAACATTTTGCCTGTTTTGTTTCACTTTGAAAAGTTCTGAAAATGGACTTTATTTTTTTAAAAGGAATAACGTTTTTGTTTTTAGAATGCCTTTGTTTTCTTTGTTTTGAAGCCATTTGCATTTTTTATATTTCAAATTTAATGGATGCAAAGATATTCTATTTAATAAAAAGTATAATGTGTAAAAATTCATACAACATACAGCAAAAATAAAGTGCAAAAATCAAACAAACAATGCCGCTAAATTTATTGTTTTGAAATCGCGATCCGCGAGCTGAAACATGATAAAAATTTTGTTTTTTATTATTTTTTTTTAAATTACAATTCTAAGTTCGTTATAAGCATAGTATTTTTAATAGATTTTATCATTTTGGGACCCGAAATAGGTTCGTTATAGGGGTAGTTCGTTATTCTAAAAATCGCAAAGTTCGTTATAACGATGGTATTTTCAATGGAATGGAATTGGGAATCGGCGTGGGTTCGTTATAAGGGAAGGTTCGTTATATCCAGGGTTCGTATTAGCGGGGTTTTACTGTATGTATGTATGTGGGTATCTATGTCGGCTATACACGTCCACAATACGTAACTAATCTGACTAAAATTTTAACAGTATATAGAGTTGAATCTGTAAAAAACTTATAGTGAAAATTTCAAGTCTCTATCCCAAATATTCTTCGAGTTATTCGCAAATTGCGTTTCAAATTTGCCCTTTCTCTCGCAAACAGCGCTTCTAGCGGTGAAGATGGGAGGTAATATCAGCTGACCTAATGTACATGTAAAACTTGTTTTAACAGGACATAGAGAAAAATCTGAAAGACACAAAGTTTGGAGCGGGACACAAGAGTGACATCCACGGCGCAAATTTATAATTGTAACGAATAGTATTTGGGAATCAAAATAATAGAATTTTCAAATATCGTTTTGAAAATATGCATTTTTATTTTTATACTAGCGGATGTACCCGGCTTCGCCCGGGTTTTACCCGAGTAAAGGTTTGTCTAACGAATCTCTCGATAAATTGAACATTTTTTCCCGGTCCCTTGAAAAATACTCGATAAGTTGAATAAAATCAATATTAATTGGTTCCCTCGGTAATTGGAAGTTAAAGGAATAGTATCTTGCCTTGGAATTGTATCATTATTCTTGTATGGATGTACCTGGCTTCGCCCGGGTTTTACCCGAGTAAAGGTTTGTCTAACGAATCTCTCGATAAAGTGAACATTTTTTCCCGGTCCCTTGAAAAATACTTGATAAGTTGAATAAAATCAATATTAATTGGTTCCCTCGGTAATTGGAAGTTAAAGGAATAGTATCTTGCCTTGGAATTGTATCATTATTCTTGTCTCATTTTGTCTTTCCTAATTTTCTACATTACAAAATCATAGTATCATCATGATAATATTTAGAGCTGATTGTTGAATTATAACAGATAAATTAGAATATTTATCTTGATTATTTTAAAGCGAAAAGTTATTTCAAAAATTTTATTTGCTAGAAACCTTCCCAGTACTATACTAAATAACTTCCCAAAGTTTCATGGCGTTCCAATGAGTGGTTTGGTCAGTCATAAAGGACACACACACACACACACATACATTCATTTTTATATATATAGATTTTAAAAACACATAAAGTTTGGAGCGGGACGTTTCGGTTCAAAATCACTTTATTAGGTACCACTCAACAAGAGGAACCTAGTTCATGATAATTGAAACAGTGAATAATATGTGAAGGTTATTCACATATTAAACAAAATGTTAACACGGGATACAATCCCGGTTCATGACTGTCGGGAAACGAGGGTGCTACCCACTCGTCCACCGACTTTTGTTAGCGGGACGTTTCACAAGAATGACATCCATAGCGCCAATTTATAATTGTAACGAATAGTATTTGAATAAAAACATTTAATCGGGTAAAACCCGGTCGTTGCCCGGGTCCTTCGGTTAGTAAGGCAATATAATACGAGAAACGAAAGCGCGAATGCTTATTTTACAGATAAAACAAATTTCTTTAAATATCTTTGCTGTCTATTTAAACTTATACAGTCTCGATTCAGAGAGATGTGATATACTTTTAACCACTTGTTACATACTGTCACTTTTCTATAGAGACAAGGGTCGCCTCTCCCGTCAAAATAGACGTCAAAACTAAACGCCATCTATTGACCGTCGCCGCAAAACTAGCGGCCTCAGGTCGGTGACAAAGCCAAATGACCTAAAGTCCGCCCTAGACTAACGAGGACCGTTAGCCTGAAACCATGGTCTCTAGGTGGACACTTCTCAGTTTTTTTTTTTTTTATATATAATACAATATAATGCGACTTGTGATTGTAGAACGATTAAGACAAATTTTACCGCAAATGTTTCTTTTAAACGAAAAATCGCAATTTATCCCAAGGAGAAAAAAACGACCATTTACAACCTTAGGGATCCCATCCCTGGACACTTTATTTTTTCCCTTCATCATTACTCTTCACAATTCATCCTTTCATACTTCATCCCTAAGCATGGCCCCTGCGCAAGGATGACACGCAAAATCGTGAAGCGTTCCATATACTTCATCCCTAAGGATAGAAATAATCGTTATTTCTCCTTTTAAAAATTACGGTTTTTTGTTCAAAAGAAACATTTGCGGTAAAATTGTTAAGCGTCGTTCAACAATCATAAACCGTATTATATTGTATTATAAATTAACTTTATATAATATTTACGGACGGAAAAATATGTCCAGGGTAGCCTAGTGGACATGGCATCTGCCCGGTAAGCGGAACACTGTGGGTTCGATTCCCATCCCTGGACACTTTATTTTTCCGTTCATCATTACTCTTCACAATTCATCCTTTCATACATAATCCCTAAGGTTATAAATGGTCGCTTTTTCTCCTTGGGATAAATTGCGATTTTTCGTTTAAAAGAAACATTTGCGGTAAAATTTGTCTTAATCGTTCTACAATCACAAGTCGCGCATAGTTATACATAGTTCTTCTTCTCAGTTTACCAAAGCTGGTGTTGTGGCTTTGTCACCGACCTGAGGCCGCTAGTTTTGCGGCGACGGTCAATAGATGGCGTCTATAGTTTTAACGTCTATTTTGACGGGAGAGGCGACCCTTGTCTCTTTAGATCAATATCCTCCCGGAAAAATACCCATCTATGTCACTTTTCTGTTACCCTTAATCCGCCCATCAACGGAATGTTTGTGCTCTAGATTTCTTCTGCAGTGTCACATTCTTATGTAATTATATATCACATCAATCTTATATATATAATTGGGTAGCAAATTTGCATACAATACAAGTAAGGTAACCTTTAAATCACGAATGTTTCCTTTAGACATAAAAAGAAACTTCTACTGTCCTTACTGCGATGAAAAATATATTGGGAGGGCTTGGTTTATCAGTTCACCTGGTTCAAAATCACATTAATAGGTACCGCTCAACAAGAGCAACCTAGTTCATGATAATTGAGACAGTGAATAATATGTGAAGGTTATTCACATATTATTCACTGTCTCAATTATCATGAACTAGGTTGCTCTTGTTGAGCGGTACCTATTAATGTGATTTTGAACCAGGTGAACTGATAAACCAAGCCCTCCCAATATATTTTTCATCGCAGTAAGGACAGTAGAAGTTTCTTTTTATGTCTAAAGGAAACATTCGTGATTTAAAGGTTACCTTACTTGTATTGTATGCAAATTTGCTACCCAATTATATATATAAGATTGATGTGATATATAATTACATAAGAATGTGACACTGCAGAAGAAATCTAGAGCACAAACATTCCGTTGATGGGCGGATTAATATGTGAAGGTTATTCACATATTAAATAAAATTTTAACGCGGGATTCAATCCCGGTTCATGACTGTCGGGAATCGAGGGTGTTACCCTCTCATCCACCAACTTTTTACATGGTTTATCAGTGGTGAACCCTCCCAGCGGTTTTGCCAATTCAATCTACCAAAATGATTTTTAGTGTTCTAATACAGTATTTGAATAAATTAACGCGAAAAATGAGCGCGTTCGTGATTGACTTTTTCTTGATTTATCAAGAAATTGGGTTGGCCAAATATCACGGAGCAAGATAAATAAACGTTTAGTTTATTTTTTCTCCACTAGATGGCGCTCTACCATCTATAAAGCACAGGTGTTCCTGGTCAGTATATGCCTCCTT